GGCCTTTTTGTGCGGGTTGAAGGTGTGGAGAGGAATGTAGCGACAACCGCTCTGTCAGCGCCACAACGGCCGCTCTGTCGGATTATTTTGAGAGAATAATCAATTTGGAGTCATTATTCCCTTGACGTTTAGCCGGGACGTCCTGCGACACCCATTAGCTGGATATCAAGTCTTCCTCATAAAAATACATTTTGTCCCTTTTCGTATTACATACATGGGATATTTTTATTTAATTTGATTGAAATGAGCCATCCTTCAATTCCCCATCGCAATATTTAAAACATGTTTAAGCTTTCTGTCACAGAATTCTCAGATATCGACGAAATATGTTGAAATGTTGATAGACGTCCATTCTGGTAGAATAAGATCATATAATTGTATCAGTTGCCAGCACTCCTGATGAGTTCCGCATTATGCATTTTTCATCTACTTCTAGAATATACTTATTTACACTGGTATTCAGGAATATAAATTTTATGATACTTAGTAGTTAATTAACGAAAATATTTATAAACATTTAAAAATGATTTTAGCATAATATCTTTTAAACATCACAATAATTATAAAGTATTTCACATTGTGTGTGCGTGTCGGGGCCAGTTTTTTAACTCGATCCAAGATGTTAATGGCGAATTCGACACCAAATATTGTGAAACATTATTTTCCCTATTAAAAGAGTGTGAGAAAATGGATTCTTTAGCTGTAAATATCGGAGAGATTAACTAGAGAAACTAATATATAAGGATTCTTTGTTGTCGATAAAATAACTTTCCACTTTCTTAATATGGGAAGTTATAGTTTGGCATCGTAGAGTTCCGAGATTGGTATTGATGCCCTGGTACATGGATTAGCCAAGTAAACAACAAGGAACGCTAAATAGAGTCGTTTAGTTGAAACCTAACAGAGAAATATATTCTTTTTGTTCTTGAAATCTGAAAACGTAAATAATCAATTGATGGAGAATTTGGCTTGTTCACGATGGAGCCATCTCGACAGAGTACTTCCAATGTGGATATGGCAGGCTAGCCGGTATCTCGCTTTTTGACTTTCTGACCTGGCTTGAATAACTCACCTCTACAGGAGAGACCTCACTACACAGCACTGTGCTGAATATTAGGATAGTATATAGGTAATAAAATATGCAAATATGATCAATAAAAGGACTAGCATTTGAAAGTTCACATATTTTCTTAACAAAACATTTAAATATAAAATTATAAATATTCTATCTATTGCGATGTACTTTAAAAATAAATCATATTCTAAAATAAATCAGAACAAAAATATTCGCTGTGTTTCAAAAATATATTTACTATAAACATTTATATGTATTAAAGTTCTTTTAGATACATTCAAACGAATTATTCTTGGATCGAAGAAGACATAGATAGGAAAGATGCATCTCGTTGCCAATTGTAACAGTTCCCTCAACTTGATTCTCTGCTATCATAATTCTCAGTCTTTCATCAGTCTGGCTGGACTCTCGTTGAATTCCAAAGTAAATTGGAAAATGATTGTAAAGATATCTCACAAGTAACTCAGCGAGGTGATCGCCGTGCATCAATCTCCAGCTAACTTGCTGCACATTGCTCGGCTGTGGGAATTCCAGAATCCGCCGGACCTCCCACCCAGGTCACGGCCCATTTGCCGACTACACCGAGGGACTTGAAGGAACCCAGTTACCCTCAGTGCAGATGACCCATATCCATCTGTGACACAACCCATCAGAGAAGTCTTTCATATAACTTCATTTAGAACCATTTGAGCACCTTCAGGGTTAGGCCTCATTTGGCCCACTCCTTTTGACAGAGGCCAGGTTCAGGTGCTCTGTTGTTAAGAATTGTTTTATTCGGAGCTCTAGGACGGAATTTTACATTTTTCTAATGACAACCGTTCTCTAATCGGTCATTTGCCTCATTTCAAAATTATTTCTCAATTTGTCCAGGATTCTGCATTCGGGACTTTGGTAATTAAAAGGAAAACTTTGCTAAACAGGGGGATTGGAAATTTATTTGAGTCTAGATAGATATTTCTTTTAATGTGTGTGTGTGTGTGTGTCGTAACTAAGAAATCCTATACATTTAAAGTATTTATGGAGAGAGAGAGATCATACTGAGAGAGAGAAAAGGTTTTGAGTTAATATGAGTGATGCAAAATGTGTAAAAATTTAGTGTATTAGATGTATGGTATTTTATGAGAGATGATTTTTAGGAAACGCGTTTAATTTTTCCCACAATTGAAATCGGGGGGCAATGGCTATCGGACACGTGTTATATAGACACGACGTTCGTGTCAGAGATTTTGCCAAACTTTGATACCCCTGTACCCTAGTCCCAACCAAGCTAACGACTTCAGCCCATGGTACTGGCTTGTCACCTCAACATCTGTTGCACAAATATTGGGAAGAGAAAGGTATTGAGATATGTATATCCTCAAAACATGAAGAAGGTAAACATGAGGTAGAAGTAGCGCGTTCAGGGGTAATTAATTAATACACACACACACACAAAGCCTTTATTAAGACACTAGACGAATGGCCCGGGCAACGCCCGGGTTTTACCCGAGTGCGTATATATTTTAAAAACGTTTTAATTCAAATACTATTCGTTACAATTATAAATTGGCGCCATGGATGTCACTCTTGTGAAACGTCCCGTTCCAAACTGTGTGTTTTTAAAATGTTTTAAATAAAATACTATTCGTTACAATTATAAATTGGCGCCGTGGATGTCTCTCTTGTGAAGCGTCCCGCCCCAAACTGTGTGTGTCTTGAAAATATAAAAATAAAAATGTGAATTTTCATAAAGATTTCATCATGTCGATTTTTTTTTTGACGTGACAACGTCTTAAATTAGGTTGCGGCTGGGAGTCAATTATGAAAAAGTGTAACGCCCGGTAACGTTACGATGAGTCACCGAACGAGAGTGCTGCGCGCGCAGCGCTAGAGAATTAGGCGCATTGAATCGGCGCATGCTTGTCTCTGTCTTTGTCTTTCTCGAACGTTCTTGGCGTTGGAAAAACAAGAAAGCGTCATAATACAAGTTCACACGTGTGGTTAAAGTATCGTCAGCTGTGTCTGTAGTGAAAATGTGGAGTGCTTAGATTCGTCATTTACAACAACTACAACAATAAAGGTAAATAATTGTACACTGATATTTCATTATCGTAAACTATGATTGATTGATTAATTGTTAGATTGACACAAAAGTTGAGAAACTGAGTTTATAGTTTATGTCATACTATTGATAAATGTTGATAGTGTTAAGTAAATTATTAGTTTAAAATTAATTAATTAATTAATTATTATTTTACAAATTTTAAATAGTTTCAAATTTATTTAGCAAAAATTTGAACCTTCGATCTGAATAAATGTTTTGATTTTCGAATTGATTCTTTAAAATTACAAATATTAAGAAAAAGTGGCAGATAGAAGAAAACTTTATTTAAACTGTGTTGAGCAAGAATTTTAACATCTAATTTAAGTAAATGTTTTAATTTTCAACTTCATCATTTACAATTACAAATTTTATTTAATTTCAAATTTATTTAGCAAAAATTTGAACCTTCGATCTGAATAAGTGTTTTGATTTTCAAATACCAACGCGGCTGGTGGAGTGGCGATCTATCGTAAATTATCATCGACATCTACGGCGGAAGTGTTCCAAGTTGCGATTACAGACGTAACTCGTGTCATTAAAACCAAGGGTGACATGTGCATGACTGAAGTTACTTGCTTCGCCGCTAATACTAGCTTCAAGTTTATACTCGGTGCTGTATATATTCATCCAGGAGCTAGTATGCAGGATATTGGAATGTTACTATGGCAAGGACTCGGTCCGTACATTCACAACAGCCAGTACGTGCCACCGTTCGTGCAAGTTGATTCTAGTATACCGATTCTTCTGTGTGGTGATTTTAACAAAAACGTAAAGCCTGACAACTCGTTTCTTAATTTCATGAAAAATACGTATAATCTTGATTGCGTATCAAACGTTTCTAAGTCAACTACGTTAAAAGGAACAACTATCGACTTGACTTTCGCAAGACACATAACAGCAGAAACACTTCCTTTCATTTCATATTTCTCCTATCATCGTCCTATCCTCAACAAAATCACTCAAATAGGAATTAGTTAAGTTTAAGTTTACATGTACAATGTTTTAGTAAACAAAATATATTTCTATAGTTAAAATTTGTGCAATTCTTATTTTCATTCAATTCCTTGTTCCTATTGTGCAATTTAATTATATTCATATCAATAAATATTCTACCGTTGTCACGTAAAATCTTCGCCCGTAAAACCGACTTTACAGGCAACCATTGTTTTTTTTGCATTTCACCTACTAAATCGATAGAGATAATTACATTTGCAACATGAACTTAGGTATATTGACTAAATAGAAAACTGCATAGTAATAAAGATCATTTTTTAAAGGCACCATATCGTTTTTTTTCAATAAAATCGAGACAAAAATTAACGATAAATAACGATAATTGCCTTAAAAAGAAATTGCCTTTAAAAAAAAGAAACATTCGCGGTGATTTTGTCTTGCATTCGTTTATACAATTATTATATACGAATGACCCGGGCGCAACGCCCGGGTTTTACCCGATTAAATGCTTTTATTCAAATACTATTCGTTACAATTATAAATTGGCGCCGTGGATGTCATTCTTGTATAATATATAAATGAGTTTTAAAAATTGTAAAAAAAATGCATCGGCCGGGAATCGAACCCGGGCCGCCCGCGTGGCAGGCGAGCATTCTACCACTGAACCACCGATGGTTATGAAAATTCCCATTCGTGAGCTTCAGACAAACAAACAGACAGAATAAGGCAAATATATAAGTAGATACGAATGACCCGGGCAACGCCCGGGTTTTACCCGATTAAATGCTTTTATTCAAATACTATTCGTTACAATTATAAATTGGCGCCGTGGATGTCATTCTTGTATAATATATAAATGAGTTTTAAAAATTGTAAATAAAAAAAAAATGCATCGGCCCAGGGAATCGAACCCGGGCCGCCCGCGTGGCAGGCGAGCATTCTACCACTGAACCACCGATGGTTATGAAAAATCCCATCCGTGAGCTTCAGACAAACAAACAGACAAACAGACAGAATAAGGCAAATATATAAGTAGATTAGTCTTATACAGATTCTCCGTACAAGGTGCAATATCAGGAAAAGAGCAGCACAGGAAACCAGTAGTTCCGCAACTATATACAATTATTAGTAATAAGGAAAAGTAAGATTTAATATGAAAAGTCGACCCCTCGATGTTTCGTCATCATTCTGAGGTGTAAGAACAATAGCTTCCAAGTTCTCTTTTCTCCCTCTTTACACCTACTGCCTTGTAAAAATTATATAGGGCCTGAGCAACTAGTCTGCTTGTTTGGGCACTGGTTAACATCATTTGGATTGACCTAAGTTGGCTGGTATCTACCATTGAAAAGAATGTCCTTCTCTCCTCACTAATATCTTGGCATTCATAGATATAATGAGATAGTTCAGTTTCCATATTTTCTTTGCAGAGATCACAAATCTTATCACCCTCTTTGAAAATGTTTGTATGGTTTTCCTTGAAAAACGAATATAGTATTCTCTGTTGTGCGATATAGCGTTTTACTGGGAATGGAAAGTTGCTAAGTAAATAGTTTTCAATTCGGAATGAACTGTGTAAATACTTATAGTGAGGGTATAATTTAGAATTCTCTATTTTTGCCTGGTCACTTTGAATAGATTGTTCTATTGCAATTTTAGTTATTAAAGGTATTTCTTGCCGGATAATCCTTGCATCGTTGCAGTTAATTAACCAAGAAAATCCTGTTGAGTTGAGTATGTTGGCCAAACTTTCCGCAAGTCCAATATATATATTTCTATTTCTTGATATCTCAAATAATTGATCTAAGCATATATGGGGGAGTCGGCTGCTGTTCATTTTTAGAATTCTAAGCCAGAACCCGAGTGTAAGTTTCAGCACCGTAACTCCCAGTGACGTTCTTCCGCACTCCATACGTAGAATAAAACCAGGAGTATATCTGGGTAAATTTAGAAGTCTCCGTAAGAAATTTTCTTGTACCCTGTCAACCAAGTTTTTTTGGTTGTTTGCCCAAATTGGAGCTGCGTAGAGCAAGGTTGACAGAACCATTGAGTCTAGAAGCTTGAATGAGGATCTGATAGAATTGATTCTTGTTTTAGTCGATATTGCCCAGACCGCATTAATAGCATTTAGCGCCTTGTTTTTAAAATGCTTTGCCGCCTGTTGAGTTGAGTTTGACGCTGTCAGCTGGTAACCCAGATACGTGTATTTAGATGTTATAGTGAGAGGCAATTGTCCCCAGAACCAAACATCCGATCGGGCCTTTCGACCTCCATTTCTAAACACCATAACCTTTGATTTGCTCTGATTCAGCGTTAAAAAATTATCTTCGAAGTATTTTCTGAGTACATTGATCTTTTTTTGTAAATTTATCTTGGATTTTCCGAGAAGTACGATGTCGTCTGCGAACAGAAGGAGATGTATATTTCCATAATTCGGTAAATAAATACTTGGCAAATCAGCGTCATCGTACAGAGAAACCAAGTCGTTTAGAAAAAGGATAAATAGATAAGGTGACAGGGGTTCACCTTGTAGAACACCAGCTTGTATTTTTATAAATTCTGTAAGTGATCCGTTCCATCTTATTGTTGCTGACATTTGATTATAATAGCTTTGTATAAGGCTGATGTAATTAATTAATTATGTTCTATATAATATAATTACAGTAACGCTATAAGGTTATTAATTGCCATACACAAAAGGCATAGTGAGGAAAATATTATAAAAAGAGTAAAACGATACCATCGTAAATCGGCACTAAAAAGACATGATAAACACAGATATATAGGTGACAATACTTATGGCCTTATAATGATAAACACAGATATATAGGTGACAATACTTATGGCCTTATAATGATAAACACAGATATATAGGTGACAATACTTATGGCCTTATAATGATAAACACAGATATATAGGTGACAATACTTATGGCCTTATAATGATAAACACAGATATATAGGTGACAATACTTATGGCCTTATAATGATAAACACAGATATATAGGTGACAATACTTATGGCCTTATAATGATAAACACAGATATATAGGTGACAATACTTATGGCCTTATAATGATAAACACAGATATATAGGTGACAATACTTATGGCCTTATAATGATAAACACAGATATATAGGTGACAATGCTTATGGCCTTATAATGATAAACACAGATATATAGGTGACAATACTTATGGCCTTATAATGATTAACACAGATATATAGGTGACAATACTTATGGCCTTATAATGATAAACACAGATATATAGGTGACAATACTTATGGCCTTATAATGATAAACACAGATATATAGGTGACAATACTTATGGCCTTATAATGATAAACACAGATATATAGGTGACAATACTTATGGCCTTATAATGATAAACACAGATATATAGGTGACAATACTTATGGCCTTATAATGATAAACACAGATATATAGGTGACAATACTTATGGCCTTATAATGATAAACACAGATATATAGGTGACAATACTTATGGCCTTATAATGATAAACACAGATATATAGGTGACAATACTTATGGCCTTATAATGATAAACACAGATATATAGGTGACAATACTTATGGCCTTATAATGATAAACACAGATATATAGGTGACAATACTTATGGCCTTATAATGATAAACACAGATATATAGGTGACAATACTTATGGCCTTATAATGATAAACACAGATATATAGGTGACAATACTTATGGCCTTATAATGATAAACACAGATATATAGGTGACAATACTTATGGCCTTATAATGATAAACACAGATATATAGGTGACAATACTTATGGCCTTATAATGATAAACACAGATATATAGGTGACAATACTTATGGCCTTATAATGATAAACACAGATATATAGGTGACAATACTTATGGCCTTATAATGATAAACACAGATATATAGGTGACAATACTTATGGCCTTATAATGATAAACACAGATATATAGGTGACAATACTTATGGCCTTATAATGATGAACACAGATATATAGGTGACAATACTTATGGCCTTATAATGATAAACACAGATATATAGGTGACAATACTTATGGCCTTATAATGATAAACACAGATATATAGGTGACAATACTTATGGCCTTATAATGATTAGAGAGTATAGTAATATAAATATTGATTGTGATATCACAAGTGGAAGACCAGTGTTGTCCTAGAGTAGGTGACCGCCGCCCATAGAGGAAGTAGAGTTGTTAGGCGACGTTGGTTTAAAACATACTCGGTAGATCAATAGTGTTTTTTTTTTTAAGACCAATGACATCAGGTGTGATTTATTTAAATTAATTGATCCGATTTGAATTCATATACTGATATCACCGTGTGGCCATCCTTAGCAGCAGGATGTCAGCTGACTCTGATCACACGGTCGTTGTCGGCTCTATTCTTACTTTGAGTACTTTCGTCCTTCTTTCGCTTTTTTTTTTGCTTGAGTCGATGGTTAGCTTATATAAGGTAAATGTATAATATATAAATTTCTTTTACTAAATTTTCTTCGGGTTTTCTATGATCTGATAAAATATATGTTTTTTTTTTTTTAATTAAGAAGGCATTTGTTTAATATTTTCAGCCTTATGGTGTTTAATGTAGGGCATTGAAAAATGGATCCGTGCCGCATTGGCACTGGGTGGTCTTTTGATTTTGAATATATTTTTGTACTTCAGAAATCCCGTACGAAGGCATGTCATGGATCATATTTCTAATGGTGTTCTATACATCCGTTCTTGCTATCGGAGTGAGTTTATTCCCGTATTAGAAATGTCCTATAGGCAGTTCTGTCACAACTATGTATTCTGCTCTATATTTACTGGAGACGAAGAATTCAAAGCCTTCTTCTACAAATTCGGTGCCATCAGGTTCTTTAAATGAGTGAAAGTGTGGGGTTATATCACTGACTATGTTATATAGGCATATGTGAAAGAGTTTATAGGTGAAATGTTCAGCTCCTTGCCGGGTCATGGTTGAATAGGGGAAAGTTCTTGCTTGGACCGTGCAGTGGGTTCTCCACTGCGCTGACGGTAAGCTTCCTGATGGCTCTAATGCCCAAGTCCGTGCCCCAGAGTCCGTGCAATTATTTCAAAGGTTACCGCAATAGAGAGAATATTTTACACACTTCAGTCGAAATATTCAGGGTGTTAACAACAAATTCCTTATCATCCTTGAGCTCCATGCTTGGGTTTCTAATTTCTTCATGTTGTCGCTAACGGATTGGGTTGTTCCACAATGCCCAAATTACGCTCCTCATGAAAAATTGATAGACAAAAAATATATATGCAAAAGAGCGCTTTATCAAATTTTACCAAAGTTATAGACAAATATGTAAAACTTCTGCAAAATGTAAGCTATTTCTCCCTCTGCCAACTAGAACCATTGTTTACTCTAGGTCGGTGTAAAAGTACCTTGCGAAGAGAATTAAACTGCTTAGTCTCTGGCAAACAAAGGTGTTTCGCCAACATTCTATTCAACTTGGCAAGAAAATCCTCTAGTATTGGCTGCTGTTCTGGTTTAAATCTTGTGAAAAAAGTTTAAAATAAATTTTAAAATGTTTTCAATTAGTTTGTCTTACCCATAACCCCAAAAAGGGGGTAGATTCCTGACGCCGGCAGCTTGACAACACTCGGCGGGGTCCCAGGCCTGCTAGTTGCCAGGACAATAAACCATTTTATCTTCTCAAGAGTTTTAATTCCGGGGCGAGCCCATTAGCTTGAGGGCTTCGATTGGCCTCTCATTACGTGGGAATCTCCTCAGCTGCCCTGCCTGACCCTCCCTCGCATTTAAATCCCCGCCCACTAGTCAGTCGCAATGTACGTTGTAATTAGAACCTACAACTCAGTCTGTGCTTCTTGTGGAGATTTCTGTAAAAACAAAACTTTCTAATATAAGTAATATTAGTATTACCTATGAGAGTTGTTTTATAAAATATTCA